TTAATTAAAAACCCGTTGTAATGAGGCTTGGACTGACACGTCGAGGCGTCTTCTCACCTGAATAGCAAACAAAAGGTCAACGTTTTTACCTGGGCATACAGGTAAGCTTTGTGTGAAGGAAGAAAGAAAACAATTCACCAAATACCGCCACTGACTCGCATAAAGGGACAAAACCTACAATGGAAACGTGAGGGAAGACAATCTCTGTCCAGTTCACTTTTCAAAGCGTAATGTGAGATGAACAATGGCGTATATTTTTCTGTCAAATGTCGATGATGTTTTCGTGTGTAGGGCAAAGGGTCCTTTTAGATATGTTTCATATAGGCCAACCATCAGTGATTGGACTTGACTCTAGCCGCTAACACTTTCTGTCTGTCTGTGTGGATTGTGTGCTTCTTGTGGTACCTGGTAAGTTGCTGATTCATTAATTAACGGTGCTTTAATTAATTTTAATCTAAATTACAGAATTAGTGCTGATTATAGTTTTATACTCAAAGAATTGAAAGGTTTGTATAGAGGTCTTAACAAGTGATACAACTGTAATTCAATCACGCTTTTCACTTGAAAAATAATTAGCTTTCTTGTAAGTTAATTAGTAAAAATTACTTGATTATTACTTATACTATTGTTTCTAATTCTACACTTGTCTCCATATATGTTTCTAAAATTTTCTCCTCATAATACTTTGCAAACGTCAGCATGAAATGAGGTATTTGATTAAAAGGCTGAATAAGGCGACAACATTAAACCCGAATAATCAAACATGTAGGTCGACATGCATTATGGGCCTCATTCATGAAGCATCCCTTAACCCCTTGCATGCAAATTTAGTCTCAATAAAACTTTTGATTGCCCGGATTCATACGATAATTCCCCCATACGGTCGATAATTAACCCACTACACCCCGTACAGAAATTTATAAAATTTATACGCCGCTATTTAGTTGTTTTTTTTTCTACTTTTCAGTAATTCATAATTTGTGAATTCGACAGTACCAACGTTGCCACTGAAAATATTTATTTAAAACACCAAAAATAGCTCGTTAAGGACCATAACCCCCCCCCCCCCCCTTTTTCCTCCCCCCCCCCCTACGTTTAAAATCGTTTCAAACTAAATTATCTGCCCCTAATAGTCGTCACTAAACCCGGCTCTGCTTGTAAACATTTAGAGTAAACACAGCTCACTAAGACCATGTAGGGGTGGGGGTGGTAGGGAGCGCGTTTGCAGCTTGTTTTCTAGCGGCTCCCAGAAGAGAATTATATATATAGATAGATACTGACGTTCTCATTGTTTACTTTGTCTAGCTGGTCAGTATTTAGACTAACTTTGTCTAGCTGGTCAGTATTTAGACTAAACTAGCTGGTCAGTATTTAGACTAACTTTGTCTAGCTGGTCAGTATTTAGACTTTGTCTAGCTGGTCAGTATTTAGACTAAACCAGCTGGTCAGTATTTAGACTAACTTTGCCTAGTTGGTCAGTATTTAGACTAAACTAGCTGGTCAGTATTTAGACTAACTTTGTCTAGTTGGTCAGTATTTAGACTAAACTAGCTGGTCAGTATTTAGACTAACTTTGTCTAGTTGGTCAGTATTTAGACTTTGTCTAGTTGGTCAGTATTTAGACTAAACTTGCTGGTCAGTATTTAGACTAACTTTGTCTAGCTGGTCAGTATTTAGACTTTGTCTAGCTGGTCAGTATTTAGACTTTGTCTAGCTGGTCAGTATTTAGACTTTGTCTAGCTGGTCAGTATTTAGACTTTGTCTAGCTGGTCAGTATTTAGACTATGTCTAGCTGGTCAGTATTTAGACTTTGTCTAGCTGGTCAGTATTTAGACTTTGTCTAGCTGGTCAGTATTTAGACTTTGTCTAGCTGGTCAGTATTTAGACTTTGTCTAGCTGGTCAGTATTTAGACTTTGTCTAGCTGGTCAGTATTTAGACTTTGTCTAGCTGGTCAGTATTTTTATTAATATTGCCGACGGTGCTTGAAAATTGCACTAAAGCTGACAATGGCGTTTCCATGAGATGTGTGTGTGTGTGTGTGCGGGGGGGGCGTGGTGCGTCCCTGCCGTTAAGTATTGCCTTCATTGCCCAACTCATTCAAATAATGTACAGTAGGCTTCCGTCCTCTCTCCCCCCCCCCCCCCCACCCACTTTTTTTGTGTACAGTGGCGGGAAATGAACCGGCCCACAAGTTAGCAGACGATGAGCAGAAAAATTGATCGTCTGCAATATTTCTGGAGTCTACTCCCATCACGCGAGTTTGAGTTTTTTTGAAAACCCTCCCCACCTCCCCTATCTTCGTCTTACCGTGTATTTCATGTGCAATTTGTGTGTATGTGATAATGTGTGTGACGGTCAGTGTGACGGTCAGTGTGACGGTCAGTGTGATGGGGTGATAAGTGATACAAGTAAGAGAACATTTTTACTTCACCCTGAAAGTAATATCTTGCTATTACTATTAATTTACTTTATTTATATCTATCATTTAATCCATTTAATTGTGTGTCCATCTTCTGTTTATCCGATATTGCTCACTTTAAATGTGAACTGACCTTTTTTTATCTCACGTGGATAACGTGCATCATACAACACAGTTTACAAACTACTATATCTTGTGTATCTGTAGGTCATTTGGGAGATCTGTAGGTCATTTGGGAAATCTGTAGGTCATTTGGGAAATCTGTAGGTCATTTGGGAGATCTGTAGGTCATTTGGGAAATCTGTAGGTCATTTGGGAGATCTGTAGGTCATTTGGGAAATCTGTAGGTCATTTGGGAAATCTGTAGGTCATTTGGGAAATCTGTAGGTCATTTGGGAGATCTGTAGGTCATTTGGGAAATCTGTAGGTCATTTGGGAGATCTGTAGGTCATCCTATATTTCAGAGTCTACCTAGCTCTGTTCAGCAGCTGGCTAATGATATAGTTAGGCTTAGTTTGGAACAGCACTGGTCTCTTTACCACTTTACAGAAACAGATAAACTCTACTTCATCCAATGAGAAGACACTTTGTTTTCAAGTTAGTATGAAACTAAATCGGTAGGTTTTTAATTCTATTTAGCTATTTTCATATGGGTGAAACTAAATTGTTTCACTTTTAGTATTCCATTCTGTTGAGGTTAAAAAAAAATACCTGACGCCTTTGTGGACGGCTTTATCAACACTGAGACAGAAGGCCGGAGTTGATAACGGAGCTAAACGTGAGAAAGTGCTGGTCTTGTTTGTGTGCGGGGGTGGGGTCTGGTTTTGTATGTGTGTGAGGGAGATGATTGGTGCTATTACATAAACAATTTTTGTGGTGCTATTACATAAACAATTTTTTGTGGTGCTATTACATAAACAATTTTTTGTGGTGCTATTACATAAACAAATAAAGTTTTAGTCTTTCAAATAGTAATGTCATTAATCTTTATTAAATGGTTACTTCCACCAGAGCTTTGATTATAGACAGTGCCCTTTAGTATTAGTATACAAAATCTAATGTTATAGAGGACGGACATTTTTTTTATTCAGGTGAATTGTGTGTGTAATGTCCTAACCTTAACCCTTGATACGCCGCCATCGTATCATGACACGGTGAGATCATTATGTTGTTGCACAGACCAAAACGTCAACTATCACCGTCCACTTGCACCGTCCACTTCCTCCGTACACTGTCACCGTCCACTTGCACCGTCCACTTCCACTGTACAATGGCCATGTATCATAATATATAAAAGCCAATGTGCGAACTTCTCTCTCTGTCCGCAAAATATTTTGGCAGGGTATCACATCAGAATCTTCAGCGATATATGGAGAACTTGATACGGACTTTTGTTGAAAATAATATGGTAGATGTTTTAAATGTATAAACAAAATTGTATTTAAAGAAGAAAAATAAAACATAAAGGCATATTCGAATGTAGAAAAACAGTTATAATTATGCAACAGGAAAAGTGTTTATAGTCGTGAAAAGAACGCCGAATCGATGACGTCACATATCATATGTTTGAAGTACGGAAAGTACACAAAACCAATGGCGTCATTTAGAATACAAAGAAATGAACTATTTCATTAACATTTGATTTGGATCTATAGATTTACTAATCGAGACGTAATTTATGAAATTTATACAATTTCCTCGGCCAAAACTAATACAAATTACTTTAAAAAACAACATAAATACCATTGAAAAGCCGGGGTTTTAGTGGAATCATTTAATATGTGTGCATTTAGTATGGTGTTGTGTGGACTAATTATGTATATAATTAGGTTTTATTTTTTCTAAAAGGTATTAGTAGTCTATGTTATTTTAACTGTGTCGGACTTTTAGCTATTTAGTTATTTCTTTGCTTTGTCACTAATATCGCTAAACCTGTAGTAAAGCAAATTGCGTTTTGACCGATAACTATTCTATAAAATGTATAACATTAAAAATATATAGACCTATAATTCATGTGTAACGGGGACCGACGGCTAGTGTATAAAAGACACAAAACGTGAGGGCCAGATATTTTTACTTCAAACAGGACAGATATTTTTAGACAGGCCAGATATTTTTACTTCAGACAAGCCAGATATTTTTAGACAGGCCAGATATTTTTACTTCAGACAAGCCAGATATTTTTAGACAGGCCAGATATTTTTACTTCAGACAAGCCAGATATTTTTAGACAGGCCAGATATTTTTACTTCAGGCAAGCCAGATATTTTTAGACAGGCCAGATATTTTTACTTCAGGCAAGCCAGATATTTTTACTTCAGACAAGCCAGATATTTTCACTTCAGACAAGCCAGATATTTTTACTTCAGACAAGCCAGATATTTTTACTTCAGACAGGCCATATATTTTTAGACAGGCCAGATATTTTTACTTCAGACAGGCCAGATATTTTTACTTCAGACAAGCCAGATATTTTTACTTCAGACAAGCCAGATATTTTTACTTCAGACAAGCCAGATATTTTTACTTCAGACAAGCCAGATATTTTTACTTCAGACAAGCCAGATATTTTTACTTCAGACAGGCCATATATTTTTAGACAGGCCAGATATTTTTACTTCAGACAGGCCAGATATTTTTACTTCAGACAGGCCAGATATTTTTACTTCAGACAAGCCAGATATTTTTACTTCAGACAAGCCAGATATTTTTACTTCAGACAAGCCAGATATTTTTACTTCAGACAAGCCAGATATTTTTACTTCAGACAGGCCAGATATTTTTACTTCAGACAAGCCAGATATTTTTACTTCAGACAAGCCAGATATTTTTACTTCAGACAAGCCAGATATTTTTACTTCAGACAAGCCAGATATTTTTACTTCAGACAAGCCAGATATTTTTACTTCAGACAAGCCAGATATTTTTACTTCAGACAGGCCAGATATTTTTACTTCAGACAGGCCAGATATTTTTACTTCAGACAAGCCAGATATTTTTACTTCAGACAGGCCATATATTTTTAGACAGGCCAGATATTTTTACTTCAGAAAGACCTCAACGTTCACCGTCTACACATTCAATTAATTTTTTAATATGTAGAATAAGAAAGTAATTAGTACATTATTTATTGTCTCAATCATTTATTCATCGATTCTTCTTATTCCAGAGTCGGCATTACCTTTGACCTAGAGAGAGCCTGTTTAACCCTTGACCTCGAGACATCCCGAAGATGACCATCGAGTACACGGACAAGTCGACCAACGGGAGAAATCCCTCCTGATGACGTCACTCTCGTGACCCGCTAGTCGCTGCTGAGGTCAGATTGACCGTACATTCCTGGCATTCAACGAATGGTTGACAGGCCGTTTGCTGGACAGGACATTTGCTGGACAGCACTAACAACTGATCCAACACAACGATATACATTTGTCCTGAGCTGACTCAGCAACTGTGTTGATCCCAGCATTCTCGAAACTCTCGTGAGGTCACCATGCTCAGACCGGAAGTCAGGGAATTATTCGTGAAAAGTGTTTTCGTTTACCTCTGCGTGAGCTTGGCTACGGTGCTGACCATCCCAGTGACCCAGCCAGGGATAACAGATTCTGACAGTCTGGTAAGTTACTCGTCACATGGTGCTAACTTATTTCTTACGTGGGACACTGCTGGCAAATTGTTGACCATTGGTAATTTGACTCTCTTCGTGTCCAAAGCTAACGACTCTTGTAGTACGGTTTTTTCAGCTTGACCCAAACCCGAGTGGTCTAGTGGCTGTAGCAAATTTTGGTCAATTTAGACATTAACCTTAATAATATAATATTACACATTGTGTAATTAACCCTAATCTTACTCACTGTGTAATTAACCGCCGTCTTTGCCTTTGTATCATGAACCCTAATCTTACTCAAATTGACATTAACTTTATCTCTTCAAAAACCTCAGTTAAAAATGAAAACTATTTCTTTTGACCTGATCTCATTTCTTGGTGTCAATACTTTTAATTAGTTTCAAATTAAGGACTCCCATGGTTCAGTCTCGTCCCCCCCCCCCCCGCCTCCCTGTCAGTCATGACGTCATGGTTACGACTACCCAGACCAAGTCCCTCACCACAGGGTAGTAATCCAGATGTTCAGGGGCAATAATCACTAGGTAAAGGGGCTGTAACTCCCACAACAGTTATTGATTACCCCATTCAATGCTGCTAACATAATTTGGTCCAAAACATTAGGCATGGCTGCCTTTGTATCAATGTCTGCACATTTTGGTCCCGGTGCTTTACATTGATTGGTTGGTTTTAGTCTAATTTCCATTGGTTGGTTTTAGTTAACCAATTTTATTGGTCAACTCGTTAAAATTTAGAGGGTCATATTCCTTACGAATAGATTGTTGCTTGTGAATACTTTTTCCTTACGACTAGATGGTTACGTGGGTATACATTATTGAATTCGGTGCCCGAGAAAAGATAATGCAACAAATCAATCATTAGCTCAAGTTCTGCTAATGTAGGAAATGAACCTGTTTTTGTTGACATTTTACCATGAATCAAGAGTAAGTCGGTAGACACAAATCAACGTGAGGTTTATAATGTTGATTGTAATTCTCGCACATACATGGTCATGTTTACTTTTTATATTACCATAGTCAAAGCTTAGCTGGCATAATTTTGTTCTAGCCGACTTAATTTGAGCCAGACTTGCAGTTAACACGACGAACACATCTAGATGACGTCTGCGTCACGTCTGCGTCTGCTTGTGATCCCACTTTCCCGCTGAAAATGTCCAGATCTGCTGATGACGTAACATAGCCAGGAATCAAAGAGGTTCTTTAAGGGCCAGACTTAGAGAAAATTTACCCAATCACGTGACTATAAGCAGACCACGCCCAGCTGGTAGCTAACTAGTATAGGTATTTAGTCTGGTGTCAATGACCTTTACTTAGCGAAAGCACGTGAAATCGTCCTCAATGTGCTCCTTAAATCTATGACCTACGTCACACCTGTCTGACTGATGACCACATGTTACATGGACTAACTGCTGACCAATCGGGTAGATGGAAACACTCTGGATAACCTGGGCAGAAACCACCCCCCCCCCCCCCCCCCCACACACACACACACACCTCGGACCCACACACAAGAGCAAAACTTAACCGAGAGTCTTGCATCGTTCGACTGTATAGAAGACTAGATTTGAACCTGGTGTACCAACACAACTCTACCCCACCACCTCCTCACACACTGTACCTCACCTACCCGCACACTTAAAGGTTAATTCTTGATCCAAGAAACGGAAGCGAGACTTTCATTTTCGTGCCGTTTCTACTTAGACAAAACATAATGGCCGCAAGTTGTTTTTTTTTAAATGGCGATCGCGGTAGAGTAGGGATATCGTGTGGTGACCCGCACGTTGTGGTGTGTGTCGGGATATTTGGGTGGTTGCTGGTGGTGGTTGCTGGTGGTGGTTGCTGGTGGTGGTTGTTGGTGGTGGTTGTTGGTGGTGGTTGGTGGTGGTGGTTGTTGGTGGTGGTTGTTGGTGGTGGTTGCTGGTGGTGGTGGTTGTAAAGGCGTGGTTAAGGTTACTGCTGTTCTTTAGATAGAGGTCATTTACAATGGTGTCATTGGGGAACTGTCACTAATAGAAGACTGACATCACAAACCCAACCCCCCCCCCTCACAACCCCCCACCCCCCCCCCCCACCCCCACCCCCCCCCCCCCCCACACACACACGTGAATCCCCAACAGTTTCCCCCAGATGTCCCTGTTACCCCATTTAACTTACTCTCGTTGATCAGGCAACTCACTAAAAGATTTCTTCCAATACTCGCCGCCATCTTAGCAACCAGAGTTCTCCACACTTTCCCGCCATATTAAAACTAAAGCACGAGTGGTCTTCTCTTGTTTACAAGCCACACTAACCACGAGCTCGTGTAGCTAGCTTTAATAGAGGACGTTTTAAACTGGTCCCATGCCGATAGACAGCCAGGGGACACAATGCCAAAAAGCCAGGGTAATTTAATGTTGTTGCCTCCCCTGGGGCTCGGCTGTTCTTTTATCCCAGGACTGTCTCTAATTGTCCTCACGAGCATGCGAGGACAAGTGCATGGGGTGGGGTGGGGGATGAATGTGGTGGGGTGGGGGGCTGAATGGGGTGGGGTGCTGAATGGGGTGGGGTGCTGAATGGGGTGGGGTGCTGAATGGGGTGGGTGGGGGTTGCTAAATGGGGTGGGGGTGCTGAATCGGGTGGGGGTGCTGAATGGGGTGGGGTGGGGGTGCTAAATGGGGTGAGGGTGATGATTGGGGTGGGGTGGGGGTGCTAAATGGGGTGGGGGTGATATGTAAGGATGTGGAGTGGTAATGTGGGTGATACGTGTGGGGTGTTTGGGGTTGGATGCTTGGATATCAGTGGGGTGTCTTTAGGGTCTACGTGTGGCAGCAGTGTGGTTGTGTGTGACTGTGTGTGGCTGTGTGTGGCAGCTGTGTGTGGCAGCTGTGTGTGGCAGCTGTGTGTGGCAGCTGTGTGTGGCAGCTGTGTGTCGCAGCTGTGTGTGGCTGTGTGGATGCCTGTAGTTGGATCTGATACACGGACTATTGGGTCCAATAGTTCCAGGATATGACGGGAGGTTGTGTGTGATTAGTGTGATATGGGATGTGGTGGACCAGGGGCGGAACTACAGTGCCGCCAGACCCCGCAATGCGGGGGGGCCCGGGACGTTTAGGGGCCCGCAGCCGACCATAATCATTTTTTTACAGTTAAAAAAAGTAATCTTCTTGCATTTTTTACTTGATGGTTGTTTTGTAAAAAGAATACTAAAGCTGAGGTTGGATTATCTTTATTCTCTAGACACCATCTCAAGTCCTCTTTCTCCTACAATCAGACACACGCTGTTGTCGGCAAAATTCTTTTGAAAATAAATCCATCGCGTGAAAGATACGCTAAAGTTCAAACCACTTCCATGACTTATTTCCCTTTTTTAAATAGTCAAATATGTGTGCTCTTAAGCACCTTTTAATAGATTTGCACTAAACAAATTAAAAAGCAATTATTTCTATTAATTATTATTTTTAAAAAAAATACATATTAAAGAATAACAAAGCATAAAAAGGAAATTTATTGAAAACTAATAATATAAATACAAAAAAACATAAAAATAAACATAGGGACAGAAACCATTACACATACACATCTTTCATGCTTCATATTATTTCGACCGACTTATTCTCAGGAGGCATCATACTTTATTAAAGCTAACATGTTAAAACATAGATTTTCAAAACACAAATTCTACCCCCCCCCCCCCCCCCCCCCCCCCCCGTCCCCTCAGCCCACCACGCGCGCCGAGAGAAGAAAAAATCCCTTGAATCATCATTTAACTACACATTTGCATTTTCAGTTTCAGGCTGGTTTTTAATTTTTATTTTTTTCTTTACATTTAGACGTTTTGTATTAGATCTATGTATAGGTAAACCATCTTAAATGAATGAAAGTAAGCTACAAGTAAGAAAGAAATATTACTATTGTAAATCTGTATCAGTCCTCCAAGCCGATGATGAAAACTGTAATACTAAAGCGAACACACCACT